TCGTCGATTATTGCTACATAAATGTATCCATAACTTCTGAATACCTCATGAAAATAGTATCTCTTGCTTTACAAAATTTCATCACAAATAAATTGTTAATATTCATTATTATTTTAATTTACAAAAATTCGCCAGGGTTTCTTTCTTTAAGGATAACTTTTTTTTAAAATGTTTTACAAAAATGAAACTGAGCAGTGTATAGGGTGAAAGGCGAGCCACAGAATCCTGATTCGTGTTATATCCGTTATTCTATTTACGTGTAGTATCTCGACGATACCGGATGCATAGAATGCAGCCGGTGAAAGTGAGTTCAGGGGCGTGGCCTTGCTTCAAAGGATTAAAGGACGAAGACGTTTAAGAATGCGAAAGGAAAGCGTAAACTTTTCGATAGCGTGCCACTGATTTCGTTTATGAATCATTCTTGCAATTTTATCTTCTCTCGAGAAACTTCCGACTGAATAATATCTATTAGACAGGAAAGTTATTAAAATTGAACAAAATGAATACTAAATTTCTTTTTGCCTCATTTATTAAATTTTCAATATCATTAATTATTACATGGTTTGATGAGATGAAAGTAGCATAAATCAGCATTTGTAGCATATCTATGCTAATTCTATTTCATCATCAATCTTTCATAAAAACATCTTTAGTTCATAAATGACCATTGAGTAAGATCAAAGAAAGAATGGAGCATTTACGAAGAGTAAAGAAACTGATGTACATATAGAGAAGAAAAATAGAAGATGATGTAAAGTGAAATGGCACGGGGTGAACGAGAGTGATGTAGCCCATTCAATCGATATTAATCTTTCGTCCGTATTAGGAGTGCCGGAACTGAAGGCATTGGTATGCAAGACGATGAGTAAGAAAAGTGAAAAACGAGAGTAAGAGAATACTGCGTGTGCTGTTCACCATTCACGTCGTACAATCGTAAAGAATTATTTCAAAATTGCATCCGCACGAGAAAGTAAGTAGCTAAAGGTCCGGTAGTGAGTCATTGTCAATTGGTGGGAGGCTGGTTGGAACAGAAAATTCACGTGTAGGAGGTGAAAGTGAGCACTGGGATCGGTGACTTAACGAGACCATGGCCACTCGATGGATGTCATCGGGTCATTTCAGAAACCCTTCCGCATTGCTCTACAAACTGCATTGTAAAAAACAAACATGTAAATCAGTAAGCATTTAATTTATAATTTCTTGGCTGATTTTAAGAACCTTCCGATACTTTGATGTCATAAAATCGTGTCAGACTTTCTTCGTTCCGAAATCCGCCATTTGCTGTGGAACGATCTAATGTCCGCGCGTGAAAATGGTGCGTTCCAATGGCTCGTTTGCAATTCGTATGGTTGTGAACGTAGGATTGGTTTATTGGCTCGCTAAAAGCGTTAAAAGCGGAGCTTATTCAAGCATTCTTCGAGTATCACGGCGCCATCGGCGCTGAAACGTCCAGGTTTAAACCGTTCTTCGCGTGATTAGCATATAGGCACACTGACACACTAAGATCCTGTATCTACATGCTTTCCTTTTTTCTTCTCCTCTTTTCGATTTTGAAACTCCACCAGTTTCCAAAACGATAAACCTACGATTGGATCCATCTTAGATACATGGATTAATTTAAGTCTTAAAGCACTTTTCATTAATGGAATTTTCATAAATTTCTTCCGAATAATTTGAAGTATAATTTTCTACGGTTTATATAAATGATACCGATTGTCGTAATTACATGGTGGTTTTGATAAATTACGTCGATTTGTGGTTTTGGTGCATTCAGAAAGGATGTTGGGCGAATTTGGGCGCGCAAGAGAAACGCCTGCAAGTAATGCAACGTTACAAAGCGATTTAAACGCAAAGGTGAACAAGAAACGCGATGAAATTTCGAGAAAGGTTCGTCAATTGCGACAAACGAGCACAACTTTCACTCCATTTGAACGAGCTGTGTGGGCCAGTACGTGTTCGTTATCACGAAATTTTTCTTTTTATTAAATAAATCGTATTTCTCGAATATAACGGTCTAATAATCACGATGGGAGTCGAACGTTTCGTATGCAAAAACGTATACAGATATTGCCATGTCTTTCAAGTGTTAATGCCCAGTACACGTTACAAAGAAACTAGTCATTATTTCATGGTCGCGGTTCACCTTGAGCCAACTTTCTCCCGGCATGTAAAATCTGTGAGACGGGTGTTCGTCGACTAATTGCGATGCTCATCGGAAACGGGAAAAAAAGTCGCGTACAGTTTATTAACTGGCTAATTGAGCATCCCTCGATTGGCCACCGGCGATACGTACATTGAAAAAGAGGGCACACCTGGGTGTACCCAATTGCCTGATCGTTAGCGCGATTGTGCAGCCAAACAGACGTCGCGACGTCACGAAGACAATCGGTTTTTCGTGGGCGTAGGCCTTGCATCGAAGTCATTCGTGTCGTACCGATACCTTCGACAATTTTTTGGGTCACCGAATCGCTAACTTTCTTTCCTCTTTTCACCCTGACGACCTCGTGCGAGGTGTACACGAACGTATACAGAGGCGCTTTCCACACGATCACGATTGTAATTATCGCGAGTGGAAATAAATTCTTCTCGGTTGCCGTGCCAGACGTATACGTATCCAATACTTTAACCCTTTCGTTACGCTTCCTTTTGCCAACAACTGTACTCCATTTCGATATTAAGTTATATCTGAATCAATGGAATCAATGGACTTCTTACACGATCATAAATATGTATTTTGCATAATTATATAAGTTTCTGTTTTTCAATTCCATCGATGTCCATTAACACAACTTTCTTGACGTTTATGTTATTGATTGCAACGTTGGTGTACCACTTTTCTCGATGCTTCTTTCAAGATGATACACGACTCACTATGTGGGTTAATCCGTTTTTGCATAACATCATCGGTTACCTCCTTAAATTCTCGTTAAGTCTTCATTGATTTCTCATTTTCAGAAAGATCAGTAATAATTTTCGCGGTTGATAATTAATAAAATCACGCGAATCAATTTTCAATTAACTTATCTAAATTTCAGTGAGTGGATTAAGGAGAAATAGCCGTTGCATTATAAATCTTAACGTTATATGATTATAATATTGATACTAATAGTAATATATCATTTTATCATTTATCATTATAATAAACAATTAACAAAGACCTTTAGTACTGAGTTAGCTATTATTATTACAAATGAAATACGTATTGTATTTGTTCCGAAGAGTGCATCGAGCTGGCAAATTTGTAATGTTAATTTCATGGGCGCGGTGAGGACCCATGATGTTCCCGATGCGGTTTTGGCAGTCGAAAGTGTGCCAGAACTAAAATCCTCCGTTCGACTTAACTCGATATGACCGATCGAAACTACCGCCACGAAAATTGACTGCGAATCAACACTCCTTGAATTCCTACGATTCGCCGTCGATTCGAGCCAAGAAATCGGTCAAACGCGCGATTCAATTGGATTCTTACACGTACGATTGTACCGATGTCTCGAAAATATTAAATCATCTCAAAAATAGATCCAATCTTTTGCACCCTTTCCAAATGCTCGATTGTTAAAAATGGTAATGATTCTTTTTAATAAAAGTGGATCTATACCACTTTCAAAGAAAAATATTATGCTTGTTAGCATTATTTTATTAATTTTACTGAATTCTTCTTAAAGACAGCTTTTCTCTCTCAATAATAGAAACAAGACAAATCCACGCGTATCCATTGGATTGTACATGATCGGAAAACAATTTAGTTCATGAAATCCCAGATACTAGAATCAATCTCGATAGACTTAATTGTTTCATTGATTGGATGCCTCAATAACGGTATCGAGCTTTTGCTGAGACTGGTCAATAAAAAGCGAGTGCTTAGTAATCATCCTTATTATCATCCATTTATTTCCAGAAATACCGCAGATCATTCACGTTTAATATCTGAAAGAATCCTAGGATAACCCTAGGAGATTCCCCTACAATTTCTTTGAACTAAGGGAAGCCTTGGTTGCACGCAATCATACGACAAAGCAAGATCCGTGTGAAAGCCGAACGCGGCTCTCGTGAATGGCCGCTGACGTCAATGGTCGTGGAAAAATTGCGCAATTTCACCGTTTCAACCGAGGCTAAATTCGTTCGCTTAGCTTTCTTCCGGAATCGGAACCGCGTGGAGGCGGGATCCGGGGAAATTAACCGGGCCGGGTGTACGGAATGCGCGCTAATTAGAATCCGATTTGCGATCCACGAATCCTTGTAATTTCCCCGAGGAATAGGTAGAAAGACAATATTTCGAGATTTATCGGTTCGCTTTCGGTTACGCTTCTACTATCGTTATCCTTCACGTGACGTGATCATTTTTTTTAATTATTTTCTGTATTTACACGATTAAAATAACAGGTACTTTTCTTTCGCATTAATATGAACGATTTGCGTACAGCTTTCTTTTGTACTGTTCCTTTGATTTCACGCGATTAGTATCTTTGTCGCCTGCGGCATTTTCACTTGAAACTTTAATTAGCTAGAAAATGCTAGCGAGGATCTAGATTTTTCTGATGACACAAGACAGCACACGAAAGCTACGTAACCAAAAGTGTCCTGTTTATAAGGTTACCGGTCGAAAACTTTCGCTTGCTATCTTGACACCGCTCTACTTCCGGTATCCGAGTAGAGAAAGGGGGAGAAGAGATGTACGAAGTTAGCGTTCAAAAACTCTATGAATTGCAAATAATATGGTCAAAAATTGAATAATTCAAAACTTGTAAAATATGCAGAATGTGCGAATTAATTTAATTGAACAGCATTTTTGAAATGTTTTCGTTACAGCTGGAAGATGTTAAAATTTCGTAGTGATATCTATATGGGTCAACTCGACAAAAGGTTGTACCAGTCCATTCTTCAGTAAGTTTCATTGAAATGTAAAAATGCCTTCACTCGAAAATGGGGTCAAGTAACAAAAAACCTTTGTGCAAATCATTTGAAGAGGACAGAAAGAGGTCGAAGGCCTCTACTAATTTTTCTACTAATATCTCGACGATCTCGAGAAGTTGGCGAGAACTTTCGCTGATATCCGGTCTCGACTGGACTTCCGGTATTCACAGTAGGCAGACCGAGACCGTGCGTCAGTCTCCAACGAATGTCGTGATTCAACCTCGCTCCGTTTACGTCTCATTGTAGCTCTCTCGGCTGATGATTAAGAAAAAAAGAAAGTCTACCACCTAACCTAACCCACACCTAACAAAGCACCGGCTACGATCAAAAACGGATCTAACCAGCAGATGTCTGCTTTCCATCGAGGTCATCTTGAAAGTTTTCACAACTTTTTGCAATTTCTGGATACATAGAATGATGTTTAAGGAAAAATCTGATGCTAATTGCCAGATCATTTTTGATGTTCCATTCACCCTGTAGAAAGTGAAACACAAACAGGGGATGAAACGTGGAACCTTTAATCTTTATCGAAACTCGTCGATTCGATTCTTCGGTGAGTTCTTTCTACGAACTCTCTCTTTTGTTTCTGCAAAATACGTCAAAGAATTTGAATTCTTCTTTTTCACCATGTGACGAACGAATCGACGAGACTGGCAAGGGTTTTTGGTGAAAGCCGACGACCCCGAGAGGGGAGAGTATATAGGCTGCGTTTCGTTTCTGGTGAGCTCACAACGAACTAACTCGTCGGCGTGTGTCGTCCGTTACGTTTCTATTAATCGACCTATCGGCACCCGGGATTCCCTTTCGTTCATATCTTTCGTCAGCCTTTGTGAACGACGTCGAAGAAAACCGAGCTGCGACCATCGAATCATAAGTGCCAAGTGTGTGTGCCAATAGGATTATAATCCAGCTACCCTGTCGTCCAAGGAAGAAAAACGAAGAGAAAAAGGTTTGTGACGACGTTGTGATCAGTGATAATCGACCTTACGTTTGCATGGTGGTGTATAATTGTAAAGGTGTTGATTTGAAACCTTTTTTGTTTCTTTGCGATACGTGTGAACAATTATTGGAGGTTTTGTGGTTTTCTGATCTCGGAGACGAACAGGGATCCTTCAAAGAAGAGTATCTTCTACGTTTTCCATTATTTTCGCATACAAAAATTACCACAACCATTCTTTTATGGGACTTTTGATCAAATGAACATTTATCAGATAAAAAGTCCAGATGCTTAAATCATCGGCTATTAAAGTGTTAAATCGTTTAGGTTTTCGGTAGAAATGTCAAATTTTTTGGGAAGATGCTCCAGACGGATGTGTTCGTTGCTTCCTAACTTCCTTCTTGTCCCCACTCCCGGTCCTCTGAATACACGTTGAGAAGGCAAAAGGGTATGTGGGGTAGCGAGTCAGTGTGTCAGCGTTCTCACGTCTCTCTTCGAGGCGTCCTTCCTTCTCCGGGTCTATGTCGAGAATAAGGCCGCGTGTAGGCAGAGAAAGATCCTCGAACGAACGATGACGAACAGAGACAGGTAGACTACAAGCATACTCGGTGAGAAAAGGATGGATTCATTCTGAATTTCACGAGCTATCTCCGCGATCGTATCCGATCTAACTATATGCAAGATGTGTTTCGCGATAAATGGCCAACGATTTAGAAGCCTAATCAAGTCCAATGGTCGACTTCCGAGGAAATATAGAAACCTTTCTTCCAGTCTTAATGAACTTCATATTAAAATTTAATCCAATGTTTTTCGTAGGAGAATTAGGTTCTTTTTTTTCATTTTAGATTCTTTGTTTTATAATGAAGTTTTGAGCAGAAAATTCTTTATTTAGTTTGTTCCTCAAATTAATTTCAACTTTTTCATTTGTTGCAATACATTATACTAATTTTTGATTATTAATGAAGCTATTAATTAGTATCACAACAATCTCATCAGTGTTCGGTTGAAAAGCAAAGGCGAAATGCTGGTACCGCTGTGTAATCATTTCGTAGCGGTTGGGATGTTGGATAATTTCATGGAATCAGCAGGAATACCATCGAAAGCATTTTCTCGAGGATCGAGGTTCCTCCCTTTAACAAGCGAGACGAATATTCGTGAAAGTTTCTGAGCAACCGCTCGTGTCCACGCGAGATCAATTTTCTGCAGGGCGACGTCGCCTTAATTTCCCGCTTTCTGCTTCGTATTAGCAGGAAAACTGCAAAGAAGGAAAAGCCGTGACGAGAAAAAAGAAAGAAAATCGTTTCGTATCTCCGTGAAATCTTTCGTTGCAAATTTCCAATCAGATAAATTTCTTCTTCCACGAAAGAGATTTCTTCTCGTGAATTTGAAAAATCAACTTTTCATGGGGTTACACATTCCGAAATACCACACGTTCCATCATTAACTTTCCTTCGATAAGTGGAACAGCGTAACTATTAGCATGCTCGGACCATTTTTTTTTCTTATTTTTTCTTTCCTCCTTTTTTTTTTTACCTTCACATTCTTTCGCCCGCGTCACTTTCACAGCAGAGGGCAGAATTTCGCGCAACACTGTCCCATCGTGGTTGTTCCGCACCACGTCCGGCTGCTATGCTTATGGGGTTTCACCTGGTCTGCGCGTATAACGGTACCTCGTTACGTCACGTGCTCACACCTGTCACGCCTCGGTCTGGACAAAGGGTTGCACCACCGGTCGTTGCATATACTAATAACAACGACACGAGAAGAAGAAGGAAAAAATACGAAGAGGAAGCCGCCTCGCCATATCTGATTTCCGTGACGAGGAAATTGGGACTCTTGCTACCATCTCGTTTCCTCCAGTGACGTATACGAAACGCTTCAGCGCCCAGGGCGAGAACCCTACCCCAGACCTTGATTTTAGATCGTTCTTCTCATAGATACCATACCCATTTTGATAAAATCTTAAGTTTTCATTTAGTACACCATAAGTACATTAACAAACTATTATATATTAGACTTTCTATGTTTTCGAATTTGTCTTCTTCTTTGAATATTTGATCGTGAGTATACTAAATTTGTGATGTCGGCCAATGATGACCCCTCCATATTGAACGGCTGTCGATTTGAAACCGACTTCGAGCTGACTGTACGTTGGGTGCCTTTCGTGAACTCGATTCCATTGGGTGTCATTTTTCTCGGCGTCTACGCGTCGTATTTAGGACGTGAGATATAAAACGACACGTTCTCGACACGCACTGCATTCATCCTCCATTTCTCCGGATAAAGGTGTGCGAATTACTGCCACGGTAATTGGAGAAAATGTATTCCTGGAGCGGAAGAAATGCCGATTCATTGTATTCAACCGAGCGATTTCCTCCGGTTTTTTGTTAACAGATTCTCAGATCGTTCGCATATTTGTCTCGACAATCGTACAAAACTTTTTTGTGGTTTCCTTCAATCGGAACACGAAAAGTTACAGGAAACTCGTAGTCTCATTATTACACCATTGTCGTGGAAAACAGATAGAAAATCTTCGCATGCTTTTTCTTCCAATGGTATTCTCTGATTCCTAAAATAGAAATTACACATTGATAACAGGAAATACAACATTCTTCACAGAAGGTTTTATTGACCGATGCGATGCCTATTAAAATAATATAATCGGAAACATACTTTCGTAGCTTAAACAAACTGTGACTAGGCAGAAATACCAGGACGAAATAGGTTAAGATTTCAATACCGTGGGCACGTATGTAAATTTAAAATATACATACATCGAGACGATCCTCGTGTCAAACGAATGGACCTGTTTTTTTTTCTTTTCATTCTGCCACATGACTAACCAGATAAAGATTTGGGGTATGCGGAACAAAATTCTAGGATACCATGTGTCCATAATTTTTTGATGAGCTACCAAGTGGCGCCAAGTCGAAAGATTAATTTTTGGGGCCGCTTTCTCCTAATAGCCCACCTTTCTACCGGATCCATTTTACGATCTGCATCTGTTATTTCAGCACAAATGTTTTCTTCTGTTCGATTATAATGTACCAACATCCACTCGAAAGTTCGACATTTGTATTTAAATAAACAATTTGTACTTCGTATTTATTGTAACGATTAAGTCTACGATAACTTTCGAACGAATAATTAAAACTTCGTTTCTTCACATGGAATCTAATTACTCTTTGTGTTGATACAGAGATTCTTCATGATTCTTTATTGGGTCATTCTCATGGAATCTCTTACATTTGATTATGAAATGAAAATTTGAAACCTTCTTTCTAAAATGCATAATACGAGAAAAAGTGAATGCTTATCTGATATACAAATTTATCAAACGTGAATATAAAGTGAATTGACATGTCGTAAGTGCTATTCCGTGACTCTTTTATGTCATCAAATTTCTGAAAAGAAAACTCCCTTAAGGACATGAAATGTTGCAATTACATATGCAATAACAAAACGTCAAAAAAAAAGAAAACGAAGGAGAAATGCTCACTCGCACTTTCACGTATTATCTACTGTTCGGCGTTATCCCTGCGTATAACGAGTGGTATAAACCACTTCCGGTTGGACGAGTTAGCAGCATGCGGGTGAGAAATCTAGGTCAGACTGGCGGTTAGCTTTTCTAGTCGCGTTCTTATCGGTCGCGGTGTTACGCAAATTCAGGTTTGCATTGCTATTTCGAGAAGCGAAAAGGAAAGTACGGGCGTACGTTAAGGGCAGCATTTCATCTTTGTAATGGAGGATATCCTTTTCCACCTCGCGATTATTTCAAACTGATACCATAGAGTATAACGTGCCGTTTGTATTTATTAATGGGTTTAGAAATGAAAAACTGAATGGGTATGCTATTATAATAATAATATATATTATTAAAAGAGACAATAATAGATTTATAAAAAGGACATTTGTTATGAGAAAAATAGCTTTTGAAAAATATCAATTTTATATAAATAATATAAAATATTAATTTAAAAACTTAAATTTGACAATGAACCGTTAATAAGTAAAGCACCAATATGTCTGACTAAATATGTCCGTTTCCACTGCGAGCCTCAACGTAGCCTCCTGTTTCCTACCAGAAAAATTAAAAAGAGGAACAGTATCTGAAAAATCGCCGGAAACATTTCCTCAACTTCCTGAACTTGGATGAACAACGAGCGCCGAAATAAACGCGTCTCTCCATCTCTTTCTCTCATCTCATTTTAATAAGTCTCGCGCCTCGATCCGACAGTCTTTCACCTGTGGCCAAGCAACAACATCTTTCGCTCCAGCTGGTTGATAAAGGAAGTCTGTGAAACAGACGGAAAGAGAAAAAGGCGGAATGGAAACGGTGGCAGAGAACGGGCAGCGATCTGACGAAGGGAATGGAAGGTTTGGGGAGGTGGGGAGCGAAGCAAGTAAGCACGGTAGGCCTGTTTCAAGACTTAACTTTACGTAGAAGGCGGAAAGAGTTGAAAAGAGTAGTTGAAGAGAGGAGGAAGAGGGGGGGTGAGTGTACAGCACGGACGATCGAGATCGTCAGTAGGTCACTGGGACGTGGCTCGTGGCCGAGACGAGCCTGGCTTGCACCTACAGTCAGTCCCCGTCGGCCAAGGTAGCCACCGTTGGGCCCCGTCGACTCGCGGTAGACAGGCAAACAGTTTCTTTTTTTTTTCTTTTCGGAAAAGAAGGAAAAACGGTCACGCTGTCGGGCCCAATGACGAACAACTGACGACGCGCGAGTTGCCGGGTTTATTTCGTGTGCTCGATCGGGGGTGAATAAAAAAATAGAGACATAGAAAAGTTTCAAAGATTATTGGAGAATCTTTGAAACGATAATACAGTGTGTATACTTCTAGAAGACGAAAACAAGGATTCAAAAGAAAGGTGCTTCAATTTTTCTTTTAATTAATATTTATTCTTTATTAGAAGGTGTCTATTAACCCTTCGATGGCGGGGCCGAGATTTTGTATCAGTAGATTTGTATAATGAATTGTTAACCAGTGGAAAATTTGCTCTTCTGGTAAACTGATCGTATTTATTTTTAATACGAATTTCTCCCCTACTTCGAAAAGGTGCGCGCTATGGGTTTTATTTTTGGAGCTGCCTGTAACCGTGTACAATTTTAATCGAATCGATATTTCGAAGATGGTGTAATCTCCAAACTAAAAGACGTTGGTGATCATCCGTAGTGTTTCTAATTTTGTTGTGTGACAAAAGTGCATCGAAATACCTTTGTCTTTCTACCTGTTTCACCTGTAATCAGGCATGATCCACGTTATGATATTGCTAATTTCAATTAGGTATCAAATAAATGGTATTCTTCAAAAATACTATTATGAATGAAATAGTAGAATTTGTGCTTTTCGTATCTTTTATGAGCTTACCTTTGTGTAACATTTTTATATGACAATCAATGTCAAGTTATTTGCAAATAGAAATTGTGAATAGTGTCTGCAAGAAAATATAATCTATTAATTATTCTCCCAGAAAAATATTTCTAAAACAATTGTCAGAATTTGTAGTTGTTGTTGAGTGTTCGATAACCCATCCGTTGGTACGTGAGGGTTAATACCATATTTGTTCGTCTTTACTGTTTGGTTTCTGTTCGAAGTATACAAGTTTCATCAGTGTTCTGCGCTTGAATTCTATCTTATGTCTTCCCGCTAGCCACGGAATTTAATTTTTTCTTTTTGTCTCTCCGTTTTTCTTGAAACTTCATCTCCTAGCCAATTCCAAGAGAAATGAAGCCCTCTGCGAGGGACTTTGAATCTCGTTGGAATTGAATTTCCCGGAAGCGGAGGGGTTGAACTTTTTCTTTGAACAACGTCCTATCCAACCGGCTTTTAATTAAGAAGTTCGACTTTCTAGGTACAGTTTAGATGTTTATTGCTTCAGACAGCGAATGTACTGCTCGACTGACGACAAGAATGTTGTTCCATCGATTTTCGATCTCTTCGATGTTCTACTAACTGGGAATTATGCGACTATTTTCTAGTGACGGAGAAGACTTGAGTTTTTAAACACGCTCTTGTTACATGATAGTTTCTTTTTTCGTTTTTGAATAAAAGGAAGATTAATAATTAAAACAGCCTCTCCTTTTTTCTTTTATAGCAGAGAGGACACTCGCATGATGGAGAGGACGCGGCGGAGTATACGGAAGACAACTTTAATCTTGTTGCTGCCTTTGCTATTAGCTGTGAGTAAAGTCTCCAATTACTTTGTGTTCGCTAGTATAAACTATCATTATCATTCTCTAAATGGTATTCAAATTAATTAAGTATACCCATGAAAATAATTACAAGAAGTGCAAATTTCATAACGGTACTTCCACTCTCATTTTTCGACCAACGACTATCCAATTACTCCAAGTAATACTGAAACGAGTATACGCTATTGTATCGATGATTCTAAACCCTGACAATCAGCTGTTCCGTTTTCGTAAGTACTGGTTACAGTCAATCAATTATCGGATCATTTCCTAAGCTCCAATTTACCGTCAAACGTATGGTTGATCACCAGTCACTTAGTGACTGTTCTGGTCGCTTAAAGTGACAGACGGCTGGTACGTTGACCGTTATTCCGTACTGCGTGAAACAGGTGAATCTATTTATGCAATGTTCCGTGTACCTATGCTTTTTTTGACCCATTCTCAAATAAAACAGAGTTTTATATCAAGCAATTTTTCATGGAGCGGAAACAAAATTTCAACAACCCTTATTTATTTTCTTCAGAAATATGGGTAATAGATCCTCGTGGAAATTTAAGTGTCACCTGCCATAATCCAGAGAAGGGGTTAAACGATTGCGAGCTAGCGTGAACCTTTCAGTTGCCCAATGTAAACGCCGCTTAAGACGGCGAATCTTCAAGCTACGATCTACATCGTCGAAATTTTTGAAGATCGAAAAGTTCGATCGTCCCGTTAAGCATTTTCATAACCGTTAACAAAATGCAGAGTGTCCTCTTGAAAGGGAGGGGACAAAGAACGAACGCGTGTTTCATTGATACCTAAACGTCCGCCGGTTGGACCGCTATTCCCGGGGCACACGTGTTGTGTTGGCCGAGAAACAACGCGACGTTAATGCTTAAGAGGAATCAACGTAGCCACAGGCCTTCCTTGTGCTACATATTGTCGTCTGCTGTGACGCTGATCGCTTCGAAGTAAAAGTCTCAATGAAACGGTTACCACCCTGAACCGTCTGGCGCAAGAGAATCCAGCGGCCTTTTTCTTCTTCTCTTTCTATATCAAAATAATTGGAACCTTGTGATTTTTGTCGTTTACAATTGGAAGTGATCGTGAAATGTCGAGAGTTTCGAGGTGTTCGAAGTTCATTGTTACAAAATGGTGCTTTTGGCAGATCAATTTGAAGTTTCAAACTTGACGACGATGGTTACACAGAAGCTTTATTGATGTTCTGAGCACAAAATGGCTGATTGCCAATAAGAAGAAAACCTAAGTTTGCTACATGTCAAATGATTCATTTTGAAACACAGGAAATCTGATATGATTTGATGAAATAAAAGTCGTGCAAAATGGTACTTACACCATCTCAATTTCAAAATTAAAGCTTGATAAAGATGAATGCATAAACGATTTAAATTACAGTAAAGCACAATTACAGTCTGGCTCTTACAATTAGATTTGCTGCCTGTTTAATTACACACCTGTATTCGATTGAAAGTTACAATCGTGTATCATTGATTTTATTGTCGAATCGAGTTAATCTTGACAGTTTTATCGTTTAATTTGCCCGTACACGCGATGCCAATCAATATTTCGTATACGAGGCGTTGAATTTATTTTCAACCGTACCTCTAAAATTTGTTTACACGTACAGCAGCCTGTCTGTTGCAGAAAAAGAATGAAATGAAAGAAAATATGTGTTTGCCGCATCATGTTTACACGTTGTAACCGTAAATGTATCGCAGTTTGTAGACGGTAATTCTACTCTTCACGAGCCAATGAGTTTCCCGATATTCTCGTAACTACAAAAACCAGAATAAATGCAATTAATTTGCTCGAGAACTCGCACCGCTTTTTGGAGTATAGGCACATTTGAAGTTTAATTAATGAAAGTTTTTTTTTTTCATTTATTGTTTTAAATGTGGATGGTATGCTGTCGACGATATAACAGATGGAGTTGTTTTAACAAACGTTTTATGGAATTTGCAAATTTTACTGGTGATTTCGTTCGAGACTATTTGTTTTGAGACTGGTATTCGGTTTTATTCTGATTTATTCCTCCATCTACTATTCACTTCTCTATCCTTTTTTATAGACCCCAAGGATCCTCGCGCTATCCTTTCTTTTAGATGTCAAGCATTCTTACCCTATGCTTCTCTTCTCTATCTTATGGGACACTCTATAGATACGTGCAAGGTGTATCTGCAAGTGTAACTATGGTGTATCCAATGTTAACTATACAAGAGTCGAGTAAGCGAAGCGAAGATAGTAGGTCATCGCGCCGGACACGATGTCCTCTTTCGACTATACTCTCTAGACGATCTTCTTTCTTCCTTTCTCGTTCTTTACCACGTTTCTTGATCTCTGCTCCCCACCCTTGGCCATCTGACTCTCTTTCTCTATCGCTAACAGAACAGACGATATATAGCGGGTCAGACTCTAGTCGAGTTCCAGCCCATGGATTGACTTCTTTTCCATCGTCAGCTTTCTTTCCTGAGAAAACGTCTCGCCCTGTCCTCGTGCCGTCCCGTCCCGTCCCGTTTTGACCCGTCTCAGCTCGGCTCGGCTCGGTTCGGCTTGCCTCGTCTTCACTTCTTTCGCTACAGATCTTCCGAGACTTTTAACGCAAAACGGTCCCACGTATTCTGTTTCTGTGACACGTAACAGTAGGCTCTTTGTTAGAGAGGGAAAAAAATCGAAAGGGGTCGTGTTACTAATTGTCTTTGCAGAGTATAGTATCTTTTTGTTTTATAGCGTCATCTCTGCCCATTAAATTCAAATTCATTGAAACGTTAAGACTATTAAAATAAAAATCTAAACTGGATATTTTGTTGATCCACGGTTTTTTTTGGATAGGGTTCCTTGATGAGGGTTAAATGTGTAATTAAAATCGAGCCATGTAGTAGCGGCTTAAGGAAGTACGTCGCATCTTGAACTGGTTTATCTGGGTCACAACATATTACATTACTTGATATCCATGCCTGGATCATACAACCAAAATTACTTTCATATTTAAAGTACAAGAACCTTTTGTTATAATATTTGCAAAATTTCAGAGAGAGAGAATGCAACACTATCAGAGATTGCTTCCGGTAGGAACAAGCTGCTTTGCTTATCTGAAAGTTGCTTCGAGTTTCTTTATTAAAACGTTTCAACAACACCAACACAAAGCCGGTTTCCTTGGACATAGAAGAGAGTACGTATCTATTTTGCTGTAATGAGATTGCAGATCTTCCTGGTGTCATCTTTTCTTTGGCAAAACATCCGAGTTAATTATTTTCCTCGGGGCATGCTTACAAATTCACTGCTGTTTCCTTCTTTCATTCGAGAAGAGATTATTTGCAGAAGTTTGAAAGTTCTCTTATAATCTTACCAGAGAAGAACTTGAATTAAAATAGTTCTTAGCATAAGTTATTGATTACTTTTCGGAGGGAAGAGATCGAAAGTTATTGGAATCCTCCGAATATGAGAATTCCGATCGTTCTAAACACAATTTCAAATTTAAACATTCTTCAAATATTTCCATTTACAATTATACACATTTCAATTTTCCAGTTTAGAAAAATGTATAAAATTGCTCGAATTACGGCTTGTAAAGCGCACGTGAAATTCACGTTAATGAACTTTCTTCACTTTTTGTACGTCTGCCTGATCATTCTATTACGCTCAACCATAATGTTTCCGCCTTTCTCGTAACGAAGTTGTGAAAGGCGTCAGTGCTGTGTGTTACAGATTTAACATATATCATAAAATCAAATTTACACGGTGCACATTATCGTTCCATATATAAAATAAAAACCAGCAATTATCTGATTATTCGGATTACGAGACTAACCCATCTCATAAATATATCGTAAAAGCTGGTCTCTGGAAATTAGTGGCCGCGGTTCGCCAAACTGGCGTTCATCTTAGCTTCTAACGCGTTTAATTGCATTCCATGCCGGTAATTCGTGGCAAAGACACGAGCTAAAATAGAAATTTTCTCCGCGCATGGTTCGAAGTTGAAAATGAAAATTAGTGAAGCTTGCATTCACGTATCGAGGATCAGTGGCCGCCAATAATCGTGCAACCGTATATAATTACGATTGAAATTACAATTTTCAGCTCATAATCAAAGAACAGTGAAAACTTGTGATTCGCAACAGTTCTCGTAGTTATTATCAAACCACCATTGATAAGAATCAGGTAACACCCTTTTCTCTGGTGGTTCTTCGAAACGTGCAATCTTGCGGTGGAGGACAGGCCAGTTGTTTCGCATAGCAGTACCTGCAAGCAGTGATCTTCCTTAATTAAAATCCCACCTTGCGGGTTTTCTTCAATAAAAGAGCGCACAATGATTCTCAGCCCGATTCTCACGGTTAGGGCTACGCGACTTCCTTCTAATCGTCTCGTTGTAATTGGATCGTCTCCTCTCTTCCTGTAGCCACGGTTTCGGTTGACGAACTACCAATTTCTTCGATCATTTGTCCAATAAAATAATACTATTCGCGTTACAATTATATTTATTTAAAAGTGTATTCAAGTGGTTATCATGCTCGTCTATCATAGACCACATTTTTCTTTTCTTGTAAAATAACATGAAATAGAAAAGTTTTTAAATTAAGTACACCGTGATGAGTGCTGGTAGAATTATTTGAAAATTTATGTAATTCACAGTAGAGATTAACTATCAAAGAGGCAATGTATTTCCGACCTGACGCAATCACCTAACAAACAAAATTTTCTCTTTTGAGCATAATTTCCTGAAGACAAGCATACAATAGCCGGATTTTCGAAACGTAATGTGACATGTAGGTACCGTCGTTCGAACTGACTGACCCGGCCTACTTTTTCACCACCATATACAGAGAAGGAGACTATCGGTATTACGACGTCGCAGTTTCTCTTCGTAAAAGTCAGCTATCTTATTTTCGATAGCGTCTGTCGAAAGCACGTGGACCCGCAGAATCGTGTTGCTTTCTAAATCGGGTGAAACTCGGCCAGTTGCGTACAATTTCGTACCTTTTGTTTTTTCCTATCATCGATTCTCTTCAACTTCCTCGTCAGATGCCAGAATTTTCAGCTCCAACAGTGAAAGGATTAAATTGCATGTTTTAAGCCGAACAACCCTTCTATTTCAGTGCCGTTGTTACAATGTATCACGTTGAACATTGCAAAGTGGACCGTTCTAATTAAAGCTAGAACGCCGACTGAATCGATTGTTCAGCCAATTAACAGGCACGTTTTGTCCTTGGTGTCCAGTGAAAGTGTGTTGTCCAATACTACCGGGACGGGTCTTCATGCTAGATGACAATGGAAAAAAGTGAAATCAGTCTCGACCTTTCTATGGCTACCATGCTTCCTTTGCTGACTCCTTGTACCTGGCTTCTTCCATTAAACGAGACGTATCGAATCTGCGGGATTGTATCGAAAGTGACTTACCATAACATTTTACTACATAATACAAAAATTGCAATTTTCTATATTCACTTTGAATTATAACAATTGCACTCTCCGGTCAATTTATTACAAGTGTAAAAATGCATGAAACTTGTCTTCTTTGATAATAAACACTAGCTGTCATATCGGACATAAAAATGAAAATAGCAGTTTTAATTGTAGGGGAAAGATAAAAGTCGATTGACGATCAACAGGAAACGCGTAGTTCGCGCCTGACCGATAGGCAGGTCGACCGTACGCATACCTGTCCGCTTTCTTGTTCCACTTGCACCTGCACCAGATCTGCTCTTAGGACTTTCTGGATAGAAAAGTATCGCGGAACCGGTCGATGCGTGAAACGAAATCGCCCAACAGCCTTCATTGTAGATGAAACCGAACCGTGACTGACGTGCATACAACGTTGCTCTAGAAATTACGAAAATTGTTTGAGAAACGTTCGTTTCAGTTCCTCCTTTGGTGGAACCTGCCAAGTTATTCTAAAAATGTGTCTTATTGTACCTGAATGCTAATTGATAAGAGGTAAAGGTTATTTTATTCAGAGATATTTTTTCTCTCTATGTTTGAAATATTTAAGTCTATCCTTATTTACATAAACATTTTAAGTCTAGCTGATCGTGGGACGTTTAACCTGTTACCACATAATTCGTGGTTCTATGGTATACAAGAGTGCATCGCAACTAGACGACACAAAGTATGCGGTGGAAAAAAGACACTTCAATTTCGTAACTCTTTTGTAACAGGAACTCCTGTAATTTGAAGAACCTGACTACGCTTGTACAGTTACTTTCGACCGTGTCTATGCGTGATGCTTTTTTTCGAACAAATGTAGCGTATTCAAAAAAAAGTTCATACAACAGGCTATTAAATTAAACGCCCTTTAATTACGGTACCCTTTAATTGTTCATGCGAGTGAATTTAATTAATAGCCTCAACATATATGAGAAAAATATGAAGTGGCATTTAAGTAGAAAAAAGAAGAATATGTTAAGGATGATGTTGGTTTTTTGAGTAAATATAATATTTAAATTGCAAATGTTTGAATACGAAATTTTTGTAAAATTGGGCCAATCAGACCGATTGAAATTTTCTTTTGTCCCGAACATAGTTGAAATCGATCCAAGGGAATAATCAAGCATCTAGGATGGATTGATAATACTCAAGGTCGGATCGGTTGGACAATTGACAACACAATTCCATGGAATCTCGAGCACCGTAACCCGCATTCGATTGACATTCCGTGAAAGGTTGCAACGGCAACTGACGTTCGTGGAATTCCTAATGCAACTCGTTCCATCGTTGTGTCCGAACGAGGAGGTGCTCGTCGAGCTCATTGTCATTCATTGTAATTCCAGAAAGACTGGCGCTTCAACGCCTTTTGTAGACGTCGTAAAAATAAAATAAAAAGAAGGGAAAGAAGAGAAGCAAGGGAACAGAATAACCGGTGACGACAAAGTGGTTCCTCATTTTCCGGTACCGTCTCCTGCGTGTCTGTATATTTCTTTTTTCGGTTAACCCGCCGTTATGAAATTACAGGAAGGTTACAAAACGCAGCTGGTTGAATTGCCTTTCCGTGTACGTGCAGGGCCTTGAAAAAGGCACTCGTATGTCATGGAATGTGGTATTCGTTTCTGTTAAATTCTTTCATTTCTTTATTATTTCTCCTCGATTTCGCCATGCTTCTTCGGCTTGCTAGAAATTATAGCATTACAAACGAAGGTCATTCGAATTTGTTATGCAAAAGGATCAAGTAATAAGCATATTAAAAATTGACATAATTATTTTATTTTCAGAGGGTAAAATGCGAAGCTCCATTGGTCGACAGCAGTGCGTTACCATTGGAACACAGATCGGTTTATGGGCCACCGGCACAATATGGCCCACCAGCGACTCACGGGGCCGAAGAGAATTGGCCACTGGCGTCTCCTGATACTCCTCAGATAAAACATCTGCAAGTGCAATGCGAAAAGACGCACATGCGAGTGAACATCGAATTCGACAGGCCGTTCTACGGAATGATCTTCAGCAAAGGCTTCTATTCGGACCCTCATTGCGTTCATTTGAAACCTGGCACGGGTCACTTAAGCGCGACGTTCGAGATCTTCTTGAACTCTTGCGGCATGAGCTCATCGGCTAACCACAACGTGGCGGCTTATGGGGCACCAACGCCGTCCGGTAGCTACGTGGAGAACACCATAATTGTTCAGTACGATCCGTACGTGCAGGAAGTTTGGGATCAGGCGAGGAAGTTGCGTTGTACCTGGTACGACTTCTACGAGAAAGCGGTCACCTTTAGGCCCTTCCAAGTGGACATGCTCCACGCTGTTACCGCCAACTTCCTCGGTGACAATCTTCAGTGCTGGATGCAGATCCAAGTGGGCAAAGGACCATGGGCCAGTGAAGTGTCTGGTATAGTTAAGATCGGACAAACCATGACCATGGTGTTGGCCATTAAAGACGATGAGAACAAGTTTGATATGTTGGTGAGGAACTGCGTAGCCCATGATGGCAAAAGAGCACCCATTCAGCTGGTAGACCAGTACGGTTGCGTTGTCAGGCCGAAGATTATGTCCAGGTGAGTATTGGGTTAATTATTTTGAAAATACTATCCAACATATTGGCTGTTGGACAGTGTAATTTTATATTTTCGACTTATGTTCCCTCATTCTCTGTCTAAAGGTTCCAGAAGATAAAGAACTTCGGACCAAGCGCGTCTGTTGTCAGTTTCGCCTACTTCCAGGCCTTCAAATTCCCTGACAGCATGAACGTTCACTTCCAATGTGTCATACAAGTGTGTCGTTACAATTGTCCCGAACCGAAATGTGGACATCCTGGTCCAGAATACGGCGCACCTGCCGCTGGTCTTACCCAGGAATACGGTCCACCGGTGCATCAGAATCTTGGCCCGGAATATGGAGCACCACCAGTACCTGAATACGGTATACCACCCGGGTTTGCCGATCCTCGACACCCAAGTGGACCAGCTGGAGCGTACAGGTGAGATGATTATAAATTTGGGTGAATCGGGATTCGATCAAGAAATAATGTAATTTTTTCATAAAAATCCTGTGTTTCTTTTGAAACAGTGAACCAAACGCGGATGTAGTACCAGCACCCCAAGCGCAAACCTCATCCTCCTCTCCCAGTTCGACGCCAGGCGACGCGACGGCTAGCAGCTCGCCACAAAGTCCGCAGGATAACATTCACCTTCCTCCACCTCCACTTCCTGGTCACCCAGCAGCGGCCTACCAGACCGTGAAGAGGAAGGGAACCGCTGGTTCCGAGGAGCTCGAGGGTAACCTGGCCACCCTCGGAGGTCGGCCGAGATCGGTCGAAGGTTTTCCAGCCGAGCTTAGGGGCGCCAGAAGGCGAAGGTCAGACGATCAGGAACTTCTGGATGACGATGATTCCGTGAGTATATAATCTGTCCTTTTTTAAAAATAAATTATCAATTTATAAGCAATGTTAAAAAAAAAAATATGATTCTTTTATCGTTTACAGAGTATCTATCGAACGGTCACCTTATTCTCCACTCACGTGTACAAACGAGCAGCCCAAGAGATGACCGACGTGAACACCTCGAGGACGATTCAAGTAGTTGCCCCGGGTGACGTGAACTTTGCCCTGGGCACAACGAACACCAGCAACGATACAACTGTGGTCATTCAAAACGCCAGCGCGCCCGCCGATCCCGAAACGATTTGCATGAGTTTGCCAGGTTTCGTCGGCGGTCTGGTGATGCTTCTGTTGGTGGTGGTTGTCGCCTCGCTGGTCGCGGCGTTCCTCTTTGTCAGGGTGCGCGCTGTCGACCGGAAAAACGTCGGTGTGGCCGGAAGTGGCTTCGTACATCCGGCTTACGCAACGGAGAACTGCAGTATGCCGAATCCGGAATTCGTGAAAGTGGCCAACTGAGAGATCGCGAGATACTGGGACTCGGTGAAGAACCATAGAAAGCGATTTCTCGAGGATGGCCGATCACGAGGATCAACCTGTGCTTGGAATTGTTTATTTCATTTTCACGCTCGAGGTTACCTCGAACATTCTTTTCGTTCTCTTTCGTCGTTCTTTCGATCTGTCCTTTCCTCCTTCATCCCAGCCTCATCTCTTTCAGATTAAAAACTCAATCGAACACGTGATCTTTACCGACCGAGTCTGCTTCGAAGAACGGGCAGAATGTTCGGGTACCGTGTAAATAAACGCAGTAGAAAAGCGATTCAGCAAGCGAGAAAGAGAGAGAGAAAAAGAAAAAGGAGAACGAATCAAAGAATAGCTAGAACGAAGATGTTGGAGCACGTTCCACCTGTTTGTTAGTCCTTTCACCGTTACGGGGGCCATGCACGCGACGTTATTTCGACAAACTTTTAATTGCAACTCATTCGAGAAACTTTTTGATATGTTATACTTTTAATACTTCTTAAAGCTCGGAGTGTAATACACGACGTGTAACACGGGTGTAAACTCGAGAAAAATAAAAAGAAATTTCATTTCTTGGATCACGGTGGAACGTGCTTCAACATTGTACGTTTCGAACCGGACTTCGTGATACGTCGTGATCGTTGTTAGGAACAAAGATAGCTTAATCACGGAGTAAATGAATAAAAAAAAAGAAATCGCGATGTGTTACGAGACGAAGGTTCGTCGGCGATCGCCAGAGCAATCTCGGAGGGCATTGTAAATAAGCCGGAAGTAGTCAGACGGCCCTTCAAGACCCGCGAGTTTCAATCACACAATTGTGTACACTCGATTATTTATGTTTGTTTGTATACAACGAAAGGTATTCCCTTTTTTTTCTTTCTTCCCATCATCGTACCTCATGCCTTTTCGTGTCGTCTTTAAAAATCGTGATGACGATGATCGAAGACGATTTTATTTATTCTTCTTCTTTATTACATTTTTTCTAACTACCCTTTCGATCGATCTAACCCTTAATTTATTTATCAAAATTTTCTTTCGCGACGATAGTTTCTCTTCTTCCACGTTTTTTTTTTTTTTTCATTCTTTCTTAGTTCTTCTTACCTTTCCCTCGCTTAGTATTTAAGCAAATATTCCTCGAACAGGGGAATATGTTCGAAGTATGTGTCTTAAGCACACAACAGGACACGCATACATAATTGTACACTTTGTGTTGGACGTGAACGTACTTATACACGAATGGTGCACGTGTGCGTGAGTTACAATTTGTATACACTGTTATGATGGCGCGAGGAATGTATACACTAAGACAAGATTTGATTATTTCATAATTATTTTAATTACATACTCATTTTTATTTATACAATCCAGCGTTCCTTTTCTTCGCCGTTTCAACCTTCCAGATTAAAATTACAGGTAAGTGAATGGTTATGATGAAAGTAAATTTCTATTTTCTTGTTTAGAAAATTTAGTCATGAAATGGCTTATGGGAGATATAAATTTTTGTGATTAAAATGATTTCCAATGATTTCTTTATAAATTATCTTGGACGACATCTAGTTCCCATTTTTTTCCAGATGTACCAAAATGGCCTGTATTTTGCCATCATAAATTTACGTTGCCTTGCCGTTTTCCTGACATCTTCAAGTCCCTTAGCTATGTAATACAAACTGCCATCAGGTTGTACTTGAGACGACAATAACTTCTCAAATCTGCCTCTATCGTAAGCAAAACAACAGTTTATTACAAATTTATCATTTTAATAATTTTGCTACCAAGTGTATTATTATTATTTCAGTGATTTTACTTTAACATAGCAGCTTTCGAACTTGAATCCACGAAGTACGATGCCACTTCTTTATCGAGATCCAAAACGGTACCTAATTCTATTCTAAAATCACATAACTCATACAGAAATTAACGCAGAAATTAGATAAAATCAAATGTTAATTTTATTTTTGTGTACCTAATATTTTTTTTACCAGCTGAGAATTGAAGATTGATATTACTTCGATTCAATATCCTACAGCAGATGAAATCATTCAATTTTATGCGGATTGTTTTGAAATGACAAGGATCTTTAGAATATTTTGCAAGGGAATTGTCTCTGAAAAGAAATTAAAGCTGTTTTCGAATAATTCAATATGAATGTTGATTGTAAAGTAATTTGAATTAGTTATTTAATATATACTCCATTAACTCATTTATTGTATTTTAATTACAGATAGTTACGTCCCAATTGAAAAAAAAACTCGATTATGAGCAGACCCGTTGTAATTAGTAACCCCCGATGGAACACAATTGTTCTACTTTTTTTTATTCAACATACCCGGTCGCGACCGCTTTTTCTTCTTCTTCTTTCTGGTGCTTCACGACAACAGGTTTCTGTTCCACGACCTTCTTCTCCTTATTTCGCGAGCTCGCAGGTGTCACCGATGCTTTGGTACTTCCGGAACTGAACGTATTGCAGACGAATCGATGAAATCAATTAATATCGATTTTGCAACGTTCACGATACTGCTTACCTTTTTTGCGATACCTTGGTTGTCGAAGGGAGGAGCTTTTCCAAGCGTTCTGCTGATTTCTCCTGAAATATTCCAAGAGCAAAAAGTTTTACAAATGAAGGATAAGTAATTTGTTTTGTCAAGTCAATTGTGTTAATTTAACTTTATAAAAAATGACCAATGTATCATTATACAAAAATTAATTAATTTATAAATGAGCTTTTAAATGGTTAATTGAAAGAAACAGGAAAAATTGAACATGAATTCACCATGTACACAGTCTTGATTATTGATTTCTTTTGGTCGGTGTCCCACATCCACGTGAACGGCAGTCCTGCAGGATTATCCCTCCAAATTCCACCAATCTGATTGTAGGACAGGCTGCAGAAATAATTGGAAACTTGAACGGAAGGTGTCTCGGCAGACAGTAATTAAAAATTCCTCTGAAATTCTTTTCCAACACGAACCTAGTAGCGCCATCCTCATCGAAGATAGCACCGTTGCCCATGCTGTCGAATAATGCGACAATCTGTGATTTCCTCTCGATTCCCATGAGATCCTTGCCTCCTGGGCTGAATACAGTACACATATCGTCTTGAAATCGAATATTTCAACATTTCCATCATCTGTTACATTTTCCATTAAACCTCGCATATAAATAATTTTGCTTCATATAATTCCAATAATGATTTCATTCCAAATTTGCCATTTCATTTTCTATCTATGCTATTCGATTGTCTCGTATATTTTCGGCAAATTTCTTAAAATTTAATTACGGATAAAAAAATTAATTACATTGACAGTTGCTTGGTTTGTACACTCCAATAGCAAGTTTTCCATTTGGATAGTATACTTCTCCAGATCCGTCTTGACGAAAATTTAAAAATACAGTTGTGCCATCATCGTAATACGTCTGCCCATTGTATCGCTGTTTCTTAAACCTAATTCGTGAGAGAAGATAGGAACAGATTAATGATTAATTATAATAAATTACTGAAGTTTGTTCAAGCAGCAACAAGTTAGAACGTGCCATCATCTTGTATGTCGTCCTCCGTCTTGTTAGCTTTGCGCTTCAACCTAATAGTTAACTTGTTAGCAACTAGTTTCAAAGTTTGCCCAGAGTTGAGCGCGATGCAAATTAACGATTTTTTACTTCATTTACTGTTGCATTGTTTCGCAGCAACTTATTAATACACTTTAAACGAGATAAAAATCAAACTTTGTTATATAATCTAAGAAAAATGATAAGGAAGGTCAGGTCGGATTCTTGGTATTTACAAAGGAACATGATGCGAGGTAGACGGAGGAAAAAATTTCTAAAACCAAATTCCACCTATCTAATGGTGCTAAAAATTCTAAGTGTCACTTAGATGATATTCATATAATCATAAAAAATAGTAGAGTAATTTACGTACCAATCGAGATGAGGTTTCGCAGGCTTTGTTCGGTATTGAACGACTTTCTTTAGGGTTTTGGCAATCGGTATCATGGTCCAGCCAAGCTTCGCAAAGTGCTGGTTTGATAATTGGTACTCGATCGGGTGTCGATGGCCTGTAACGTAGGAATTTCAGCAGGATGTCGAAGCCGACGCACTGTACACACGTAAACCGCATTATTTCGACGCGATACGATAACGATGTACGAGCGTTTGCAGACCCCAAGTGCTCGCGATTAACGATTGGTTGTGATCGGATTCCAGTCGATTTTCATTGAAGCAGGAATCTCGATAATGATGTTGAATTAGATATCATTATTGCCAGAACGCGTTCATTTACATTTCATTTCATTACGTATACTTTTAAAAAAAAAATTTCAAAATTTTCATAGTTTTCAATAATTCGCATTACCCGTTACGAAATCTTTCGTCACCCCTGGCTTCCTTTTGCGATCATGAGATCCACTTTTCTTACTGTAATCGTCGTCTATTCCATGCGAATGAGCCCCTTTTCGACCCTTCTTGCTCGATGCACTCGTCCCTTTCTTACTCTCACTCTCTGAACTGAGTGTTGATTTATCTTCCGTACTCGCACTGCCTACCCTAACTTAACATGCAACAGGGAATTTAATTTCACCATTATCCTTATTACCTTCTACATTGTACGTGAGAAAATTAGCCTTTCGAAACACGAGAAGCTTTTATTACTCTGACCATTCATTTTCTCGGTAAGATAACATTTTAAAAATGGTACATCAATGTAGCAATTAGTTAGATAAATTAAATAGATCAATATCGAATGGAATTTTTTGGAAACGAGTAGTTATCTAAATTCTTACCTTTACGTTTCTTCTTTAAGTCAGAACCAGTCTGTTCCCTATCCCTGCTATCCCTATGCTTCCGACCACGCTTAAAAGTTTTTCCTTTTTCATCCAGGGAATAAAATACGCCTTTCTTTTCACGTTTCGACCTGTCTGTTTTTCTCTCCGTGCTCTTGCTCGTGTCCGTCGCATCGTCAAGTTCCATGTCCCCTTTTCGTGGCTTCTTCCTACGTCGTCTACCAGTTGTGCTCTCTTCACGATCTCCCTCGTACGTCTTCCCGACACGTTTCTCCCTTTCAATCTCATCCGGCGTATTTCTGTAAAGTTTCCTCCCTTTCATCTTTTTAGATTTCTTGTCCGACCGATCGTCGTACGTCGATTCTTCGTTTTCATCATCATCGTCATCCGATTTCGTTCTTCGTCCTTTCCTTGATCGACTCCGATCAGACTTATCATTTTTCCCCGCTCGTTTCGATCGTTCAACTCCGCTCCCTCCGGGCTCCATTTCCGAGAGGTTGCTTTTTGCTTTCCTGCCGCTTCTAATTTTCCTCATTTTTCCGACAGCTGCTCGTTCCACGGTCGTGTCCCGTAAACCACACGATAGTGCACGGATTTTCTCGGACTTACTTCTACACGGACCATCGTCACGTTTCCGTCGTCCATCTGACGTGATAGGATACTCGTCGTCGACCCTGTCGATATTGCATCTCCTCCTCGCTTCCCTCTCCTGCAAATTTATGGCTGTTCGAATTCGGATTCGATTCTTTTGTTCCAAAGGCGAAAAATCAATTCTTTTAAGGGTGGTTTTTTTCTATATTTATAACACTCCATATACCGTACATAAATTTCATCAAAATCGATAATGATCACTATAAAGCCTTCCCTTTTAACCGAATCGAACTTACCTGCAAAGTCGATTTTGCCGAAGTCGCACCCCCGACTCTGTATCTTTCTGACTCCGTTTTCCTCGAGCATACTTCAGCTTCCGTGCAACGCGTCGTCTCACGAGTACTTGGATGTTTTACCGCTGGGTGGAAGGTACCCTGTTCCCATGAAGCACCATCGATTCCCCTTGCAATTTTATCTCCTTCGCTGGCCTGATATTTCATCGTAAGTCCAGCTTGAAATTCCTCGATTGGAGAGAACGTTCTCGAACGTTGTTGTCCAGCCACGTACATCATTGAAGTGTCCTTAGAGCATTCGAGAAATTGTTTGCCGTCCAAACGCTTCCGTTTCGATTCCTCGCCGCTCTTACTGGCGTCCTATTAACGCGGGAACCTCAGCTTTTATTCTTTTGTATGATAGAAACGTTGTTTCAATGGAACTAACTGATATTGACTGTTGCAGAGACCACTCCTTCCAGATATTGTGGAATCGTTGCGCATCCTTGCAGCAAAATGTACCCTGAAATAATTCAGATATTACTTGACATATTATTTTCAATTTTTAAGGGAAAATTACCCATTGTCGAGTTGTTTCGCTGATAACCGAATTACAGTATCTGCAGATCCTAAGGAATGGTCTAGTTTTAGATCTCTTCCCGCTCCAATCTCGAATAAATTTGTTCACAAGATTCAGCGTTAACTTCATCTGGTTATTATAAACAGTTTCTACAACAATTTGGTAAGAAATTTTATGAATCATGGCAATTCCTCAAAATTATAATCGAAAAGTGTGACGATGGGTTAAGATTTGAATTTTTGATACACAGATGATTTTCTTGATATTGTTATACCGATTAAAGAATACCTTTCGAAGGTTGACAAATAACTTTCTTCATTATTTCTTTCAGGCAAAGAGACAGATTCTGAAGTCTTTCTGGCATCAAACACGCCGATGAATTCTCCAAAGTGTGTAGAACCTTTTTCACTCGATAGATGATGTTCTCAATGGCACACGATTTTTGTAAGCATCGTAGAATTGTTTCTACCTGTTAATTATAAAAAACAATCCTTTGAATGAAACGATGGAAGTGGTTTCAGGGTGCAACATTACTTTTTGAACGATATCATCCGGCACGTCTTGATCATTCCGACAATGGACACAAGCACACGTATCACGGAACAATCCATATGATTCAGATTTATCGTTCGATATTTTTCCACAGATGATTGATGTCATTGCCGTAGCCATGGTGTCCAACGCTCCATGCAAAGGTATTTTATCATAATTTATGTCGTCACATATACACCCATGGAATCTGGTTGTTTTAATACACAATTATCGTATAAATTAATAGCCAGTTTCTGCGTGATTAAATGGTACGAACTTGAAAAAATCCACGAAATTCTTCAGCAAATAATGAGCTCTTAAGAAGATCTCCAATGAGAGTGAACATAATTCAGAATCATCGATTAATTGATCCTTTTGCAAACAAAACTTTTTGCACGACATCATTCTAGGAGAATATTTGATCAATTCTCGAGTCAACCTTAGTTAACAAATTGTATACATTTTATTTCAATTCGTTTTCGTGAACAAAAAATACGTATCAATGGATTTGATAAACGTTTCCGACGGGTGAAATTAATTTTTTCGCGAGCTCAAATTACTCTGTATCGCGTGTATCAAACTGTTTGTTTCTGCAATAAATCATCGGTCCTGTTGATAACTTTTATTGCACGTTTGACGTTTAACAACTGACACTCGTTACATCCTGCAAGATACGTAGTAACTGGATACATCGATGTTTTATGTTTTTTTTTACGTCAACGTTCACACATTTTATCGATGAAACACGTTTCTGTTTGTGAACGAGCAATTTCGAAATGAAATGTGTCGACAAGCTTCTAAATGTCAAATTTTACAATATTTATCTTTTTGACAGTTTGATGAATTTCAGTTAATTTGCAATTATGATATCGCATGTGTGATTACACAATCAATCAGCTGAGTAGTGGAAATGGTACGCAGCAGCTGATCGGTTTTGCTAATTACGATCCATTTCGGTCAATAACTGTGGTCGATGACCTTTCGTTGTAGGATCGGTTAAAATTCAAGTGCGGTCTAAACCAGACTAATTTTCTCTTCTTTCGGGACTGCCAAATACGACCTATGAACAGTTATAACATCTTAGCATGTTTGAAACGAGTTAACAAGATTAGCGTGTGGCGAACAAAAAGTTTCGCGCCTGGTACAAAACCTGCCAATAATCTATCTAAAATAACTATGTACCATCATTGATTTATGAATACTTTGTAATTCGTAACACTAAAGTGAAAGAAGATATTTAAAACGAATCTTTCATAGCCAGCAGAAAGAAATTAAAGTCGTTTCCTGAAAACGTGGTACATGTGTTGGCACTCCATACAAGCGCTGTATTAATATAATATCGTAACAGGAAATATTAATATCGTCATGAGAATGCAGCAGCTTGGTATGCGCCATATGAGACGCTTTCTGCCCCTCCGTGCAATAATCGTAAGCGGTAACGAAACGGTTCTGTACGCGAGTATATGCGAGTAGAGCAATTTTCGACGGTAGGAATTTAAATATTCCATATTTGGTCAGCGTGAGGCCAAGAAAAATGGCCGACCATTTAGCGAAAGGCCTTCAAAAATGACCGGTCACTTAGTGAATTTCCCTTCGAACACATTCGACTCATCTTTTCCCATGTGCTGCTACGAATATGTTCATAGTTAAATCATCTAGCTAGAAATGTCTCGTAACATCGAAGATACAATTCTTTGTAAATTATATTTGACGAGAAATTTTACGAGCACTAGGATAAATCATTTCAAGTACAAAACTAGAATATACACATGTGTATAATAAACAGCTTTGGTGACATGTGTTTCATTTAGAGTCTTTATGGTACTATTAAAGGTTATTAGGTTATTGAAGCGTCGAAATTATTCTATTCATTTGCTTTGCATTGTTTCGCTCTTTGAGGTCAGCCGCAAACAATTAGGTAATTGTAGCTAGATCGCATCTGTTCGAAAGTGGACGCATATATTCGTATTCTGCTGGGATAATTCAATCGATTCTGTTTCCAACTTCCACCCCTATGTTCATTCCAATCTAACAGATGGTATGAAACTAATGGAAACCAAAGACACTTTGTTAATTAGTTAAATCTAATACCCCTAACGAAACATGATTTTTCTGAATATCGTAGCTGATTAATTTAAAAAATTTGCAAAGTTAAAAAGATCAGTTTGAAATACTCGTAAACTGTAATAATTCCAAATATGATATTTTGCACCATCCGGAAGAGGGACTTGATTTAGGTTTTCGATCAGTCGGTCGGCAAATCCGTGCATTCTAGCACGAATTCCAATAAAGATAAACGTAAAATCTAACTACCGAGCAATCCTTTTCTTCAACGAATCCTGCGGTGAACACCTTCGCCGACTATACTACTGAACATCGAAACGATGAAAGCACTTACAGGAGATGAGCTCGCGGCTGAAAAGGTTGGAAGAAAATTGCAAAGATCCTGACGCATCGAACTACGTTTCCTGAATAACACTGAGATATCTTCGCTTTGGAAAAGAGCGTGCTCTCTTTTATCGCTTTTCATCAAATTAAAGCCGAACGTGTTCGATTCTGTAACAACATATGCCGACAGCTCTCTTTCTGTTCCAAGATATTCGATTTACTTGAAATTCTTCCCATAGCGACATTTATGCAAAACTCGGCTGTCTCGCGTCCCGTGAAAGTTTGTCTCGTTGAAATTAAACGCGTCCGTGTACCGCCACGAAATCCCCCTACTCTTCCGCTTCGGTGCCTGGAGAATAGTTTTAATAAACTTGGTCGAGCTTCAGGTTTTTGCATCGACTCGAAAGAGAACAAGCAGAGGGTAGAGATAAAAAATGATCAACATACTGTTCTGATAAAAACTATTATCGCGAATAAATTTCCGGTAATTATCCCGTTGGATTAACTTCGTCGTTAATATCCTGTTTAAGGTCGACGAGGAGAAGGTGAAACATAGGATCGGTAAATGTAACCATGAATAGGTTTGCCAACGCCCTCGAACACCGACGAGCTAATATTCTGTTCGTGATGAGTTAGCTCAGACAGTTTTGAATATTAGATTAAACGCCGGTCGATGCCCTGTCATTAGCAGGATGCTCTAATCAAAGTCGATCCAAAGTTTGAAACCGTTCAGCGGGTGGTGCGTCTTATTAAAGCGGAGACAACCACCTATTCCCCTCCTTTGCGTTTCATCTTCACCTCTGTCCCCTATCAGCTACACTTTCTATCCACTATCCGATTATTCGCATCGTCGGCTGCCTGTGGCGTCTTTCACCCTGAATCAAGAGATTATCGTTATTTCATACAATAAGTAGTTCGTAGAACAGCTGTAAATGAATCACTCTACGCATCGTTAACGCGAAAGGAGCTAGCTCCTTTTTCCAATAGCCTTCCTTCCAATTCTTTTTATTAAAAAGTATATCGGAATATATTGATTGTTGGATGAAAAAAAACGAGAGTTCGTTTGTTAAACTTCATCGCTTCTTTGTTTTCGTTAGAAATTGATGGCAATATTTACGTTTAATTGAAACGATACCGTTTGCGTAGCCGATTCGCGCGTTGATTAAACACACCTAGCAGCCTGGATACCTGCAATCAGCGAGGGTAACCAGGTTCAAAGGGCTTTTGCGCGGAATTTCACCGCTTTCGGGACGACTGGATGAACACCGCACCGACAGGCCGAGCGACGACGCGCGTCCTTTGCGCGTCAACTTCCAGGAGCGCAATTTCTCCGGTCCGTCGCGTTAATTGCTGAAAGATCCAAGCCGAATTATTCTCAAAGGACCTGCCTGGCAATAACCGGCAAATCTGTCCAGCTCCCTAAATACATTTTTAAATACCTATGAATTTATCTGTAATTACACCATCTTCCGTTTTTCTTTGATCAGTTCACGGCTTTAAGGGTGGCACGTGTTCGCCGCGAGGGAAATTACAATTTTCTTTCGTCGATAAATGTACACAAAGAAATCTGATATTTCGTCGTATTAAATGGTTGAATTATTTCAATGTGCTAATGCAAGTGGGAAAATATGTAAACAGTTATTTTAAAGTATTTTTCTTTTTTTCAACGCTGGGCGTCCATGAACCTTGCTCGATTTTCCGGAACTTACGAGATGTGTATGTATGTACGTGGGCATAAGCTGTTAGTATGTTTTCAAGCCTTTCCATTCATGCACCATTTCCCTCGTACTCATTCATGGCCCGTTACTCTTGAACTGCATGTACGTATACGCGCGCCGCGGCGCACGAGAGCCTCGTTCATGCTAATTTTATCGCTCGCGGATACGACGTCGAATTACCACTGGCGAGTCATTATCGTGGATTTTGATAATACCGTAGCACGTCGATTATCCATGGGTTTTGTTCCGGCGTTCACGGTAAACGGGCACGGGATATTTACGTTCGAGTAATGGCCGATTGTTCGAACACCACGCATTCGATGTAGCATGTAAATCAATGAAAATTTAATCGTTTGATAATTTAATCGATACGTTAATTACACCTAATTTTATCAATAACCGATCCGCACGCAGAATCTGGTATTCGGTTGTTAAACGTAAACTGTCCTACTTATAATAATCGGTGACGATTTTTCCGATTGAATTTTTATCGGTAATTGATTCTTTGATTTTCATCTAAATATTTTCATATTTTTAGGTAATATTCTTCAGCAAAGTTAAGAAGGCAAAAAAGTCTAGAAGAAATTTAATTTATTTATTAATTCGAGGGAAAGCGGAACATCCGCTTGAAAAAGGGAAAACGCAACGCGAGTAATAATTCAACTTTAATCTCGTTTGATCGTTTTGCTCGAATCGCGACGCTTTCTGGCGCATCCGAAAGGAACGCATGGAATTATGCATTTGACAATACACCAACGAAATTATATTCCCTTGGACGTCATATTTCAAGAATGTTCACAGAGAAATACCCTCGCCGGTGTGCAACTTGCGTTTTCTCGTTTACTTCTTGTCACTGGAAACGGAAAGAAATGGCCCGGTCTGTGACGACGAAAAACAGAGAAAACAGACAGACTTTCGAGTGCATATCTCTCTCTCGGTTCTTAAACTTTCGAGGAGCGAGAAACAAGGGAAACGTGGAAGAAAAAGGCTGGTGATAAATGTTTCAGAAGCCGACGCAATGACAAAACGTTTTGGGGCCGGGAAGTCACGATTCGAAGTAAGAACGCTCCTTTGTCTTTTTCGACGACACCAAGAGGATACATGGTACATAGAACATGTATCTTCTTTGCGATTGTAATCTGCTAATATTATAGTACAGAGATATTAACGCACCGTTCTCTAATCTAACGAAAAGATTTATCACGAACGAAGACGAATTTACGAGCAATAAATTGCAACTCAGCGGCTAATATATATATATTTTTTTTTTCAGCAGGGAGGAGAAGCATATCGTGCAGGAGAAAACACAGGAAACGGTAAAAAAAAGAGGGAAAAAAATAGAGAAGCAAAGTG